GTGCTTAAACAGCAGACGCTGCCGGCAGCACCCAGCCGCTAACCCCTGCGTTCAAGTCGCTGAACGAGGGTGCTAGGAGAGGAAAAAAAATCCAGCAATATTTCCAAGTCAGGCAGGATGGTGGCAACACGCAGAGATGGTACAGGATGGAGCCTGCTTTACAGAATCACAGAATGGTCGGGGTTGGAAGGGACCTCTGTGGGTCACCCAGCCCAACCCTCCTGCCGAAGCAGGGTCACCTACAGTAGGCTGTAGAGGACCTTGTCCAGACAGGTCTTGAATATCTCCAGAGAAGGCTTTCTGGACACGGGGAACAATAACCCCAACTGTGTGGTGTTGGGAGTGGGTGCGCCCGGGAGGGGAAGGTCCGTCCGTTCGGATGTGCTGGCTTCGGCTGCCTGATTCGAGCAAGGTGTGACGAGAGCGTGGCTGCCTTGACACGGATTGCTGGGTGGGAGTGGGAGCTGTGTGGGTGGAAACGGACGCGGGTTCTAAAGTGGAAATTCGGAGGGGAACAGAGATTTTCATTTAATGCAAAAAAGGGCTGGGCCAGCGTATGGGAATCCAATGCTAGGAAGTCATTAAGAGCTGTCTGTCATTTTGTGCTTTGGTAAGGTGTCAGGGTGATAAGGAGAACACAGAGACAAAAGGACTTGCCAGACAGGAAAAGGACACTTGACCCAGCAAGTCTGGGCTTTGCGAGACCCGCTTCCCTGCTTTGTCATGCCTCTTGCCAACAAGTACGTATTCGCTCCTCAAAATCCACGGGTAGCATGTAGCTATTCTGCAGACCTCACTGTAGTTCCACCTGATTCATGTGCTCAGGCATTTTCTGCTGAAATAGTGGTGCCCCTGGTCTCCTCGCTGTCCTTATCGGTCTCCTTTTGGGAACACAGTTTCTGGGTTTTAAATTCAGCTCGCTATATTCTTGTCTGTTTTGGGGCAGTGGTGAAGCACAGGTCCCTAAGGAATGCTCACATGATTGCTAGTGGGTCCCTATAAAAGATGTATTCCTATGCAGAGTGGAACGTGGCCTTGAAACAACACTGCGTATAAACTCAGTAGACATCTGATGTTAATCTGAAAGTATCTGGTCTGTCGTAGGCTGATTTCCCTTGGGCTGCATCTCTCTCCTCCACTGCCCCCGTCTTGCCTTGCATTTAACCCAGTCCCTACTGGGTTCCTGTGGAACCCAAGAATGCTGCGAAGCAGCTCAAGCATGATCAAGGTAGAAGCACAAAATGGGTTTGGAAGTGCTTTTGTCGTAAGGAATATGCAGAACTGCGAGCAAACTCCTCTATGAAGAGATCCGGCATCCGCTTCCTGCAGTCAAGGTTTCCTTTTTAGATCATCTCCTATCTCAGGATGGGTTCCCAGAATCATTCTTTTTAATTCTGATTTTATTTCAGTTCTTTATCAAAGGCAAGCAAACTTCTGTTTGTTTCAGTCAGGGAGTCACATCCGTGCAATTCCAAAATGCCAGGCCAAAAGCCAATCCAGCAATGGAAGAACTGAAATGTGCTGACAGCACGTGTCCCCTCCTGCCACCCTCACCAAGGCCGCTGAAGGCAAGAAAGCCTGAGGCTGACAGTTCGGAAGGAGGCTTATCCAGATCAGTCAACAGGAATTCTGCTGCTGGAACCCGGCTGACACAGAAAATCTGATGCTCAGATTCTCATGTCTTATTTGGAAACGTTTCTGTCTGTCTGTCTCCCTAAAATTTGACATGGTATTCTGGAAAGTGAAAATAAATATCATTTAATCTTGTGTACGGTCAGTTCTGACAGTGCCAATGCATTCATTTGAAAACACATTTGTTTTCTTCAGTCAGTGATCCCTGGGGTCAAGGCCTCCCGTTGAAAAGCTTAGCTGTACTGAAGAAGGGACCTTGAAATGTGAAACTGTCTTCTGCTCAAACTAAGTAGACCCTTTGAATGCCTTGACTCTAAATCTCTTCACTCTGCTTTTGACGGCTTTGGGGCCCCCTGATACTTACCGGCCTTGGGAATTGTTCCTTCTGATGCTGCTAATGCTTTTCTTTCTCCTTGCATCTTGCCAGCTACAAACCCGTCAGTATCTTTTCTTTTGGCTTGTATCGAACACCTATCAGTATCTTTTCTGACCCTTTTTTAATTCTCTAGAGGAAACTCTAACCTGATGCAAGGATTGGGGAAAAATGGTTACTTCTGCCTTTCTTAAAATCAGCGGTTTCCACAGGAGCTTCATGACAACTTTGCTTTTTATACTGAACTTGATACACTGTGAAAGATGCTTTCACACATTTTGCAGGCTTTTTTAGCATGAGGCTACAAAGGTCATACTTTACCTTCATTTGCTGCCCTAGGCATGTAAAGATAAGTTTCCACTACAGTTTGCTCACCTGTAGAACGTAGATACTTCAGAAACAATCTCACTAGTCTTTTCTACTTTCATTACAATGAGAATATTCACGTTGCAGTCATGCAACTTAGGCTATACTTGGATTTAAATAATCTATTCGGTATTCATGATAGTAATATTAAAGTTAATTTTAAATGTCCTTTAGAACTTAAAACCAAATTGTAAAGAGCAGTCAGTTGGAAACAAGCAGCCCTGCAGCACAGGATGTCGGAAGCATCAGGTCTCTCATCCTCTGAAGTTGGGTAATTTTTAGAGAATTAGGGCCTGTCTTTAATTTTCTTATCTTTCAACAAGACAATTACTATTAATTTGTATGCAGAAATTTCCCTTCAAGAATTGCACAATTGCTTCTAATCAAATTATGCCCACGAAGGTGTATGAGTAAAATTGCCTCTATTATTTTTGCATGGCAGATATTAAGGTAATAGTTTTATAGGAGCTTGCTTCATTTCATTGCCCTTTCCTGCAACAATTAAAATTGACTCCAGGTCTCACTGGTCTGTCCTGTCATCACAGAGCTTAAATATATATATATATATCTCAGTTAGGAGTTTATGTTACTTTTTAAAAGGGGAAAAAAAAAAGAAACCTTTCAGCCATATGTAAATGTTGTTTTTTCTGTGAATCTAATGCTCTGCATGTGTCACAGGGAATTCTTCCCCTTCCCTCACACCTGTTTCTGCAGTTGTCCCACAGCTTGCCAAGGACAGGAACTGCAGGTTGTATGCATGCATCACGTTTGTTACGGGCTGGAGTGGCCGTACCTCTGAGGCTGTGCAGCCATCAGTGCAAATTTCCTTCCTTTAAGCAAGCCCTGGAAACTCTGTCACGATGTGATGCTAATATTTGTGCAGTCATCTGGCCTCTTATTATTCTTCTTCAAAGAAAAAAGGGCATGCTAACTTGCTAACTTCTTCCTTTTGTTATATGCCTTAAGGAATTCAGCATTTTTCTCCCAGTCCTTTCCAGCAGTGATATAAATAAAATTCCCTGTAATGGTTAGGAGGAAAAATTCATGGCAGTGTCAAATGATAATTCGTCCTCCTGGAATTATTTCTTTAAAACTGCTCCTAAGAAGTTTTATATCCCTCCTTACCAGATTGTGTAGTTTTGAAAGGATTGTTTGTCGTATCGAAATAGCTACGTATATATGTATAAGAAATTTCCCAAGTCTTCTCTGTGTTGCTCACACTAAACATTACATCTTTACTTTACAGCATTTGGCCTCAGTTGCCCTTTTTCCTCCTTGGAATTAAGCGGGAGGGCTTTGAATTTCAGTCTCTTCAGACGTTTTTCAAAAATTCAGCTCTATGTTTCCCGGGTTTCGTAGGATTCCAGTAAAAATTCCTTGGGGCGTATCACATTCTCCCAAAGTCAGCTTTCTTAACGGCAAAAACATTTCTGAACTCCTCTCGGCGTTCCTGCCCTAAAGAGCATTTCGAGCCTAATGAAACCGCGATCACAAAACCCCGAATGCCCCACACTTCCACTTCAGTTCTCATACAAGCTTCGTTTCCTACTCTTAAATTCAGAGCCGCCAGTGGCTGTGAGCTGTTCAGATGGCTGCACGGGGAAACACGTGCTTCCCTCCCTCAAGGATCTTTTTGCTCGTC